TAGTAAATAAACCCCAAAGTGACAGCATGATGACTGTGCCATAAAGCTGCCAACCTACAGGCTGCCAGAAAGGAGTCCAAATATGGTCCTAGATTTAGGGTTCAGAAGATCCAGCTCTTTGTCATCTATTGGCTTCCACTCTGTTTAGGGTGCTATGGTAAACTGACAATGGAAGTCTCTGGGAGACAGGGTAGGTGACATGGATATTATTTTGGAAGCACAGATTTCTCTCAATACAGATCTAAACACAAAGCCATTAAGCGCTCCACCATGGAGTGCAATCAGTTGACAGTTCTGCAGATCTGGTGCTTCTCTACAAGAAACAGAGTGACAAGATGAGGACTGTGCCACAGAGCTGACAATCTACAGTCTGCCAGAGAAGGTGGGGTGCAATCTCTGAGCCAGGAAGCCCAACAGCCCCAAAGTTAGGTTTTGGAATCTCCTTTTCTCTTTGAGCTTTTATCTCCTTTTGGGGTACAATGGTGACATGACAGCAGATGTCTCTGTAAAGATAAACACTGGCAAGGAGCTCCACTATGAAGTGTGGTCAGTGGATAGAACTAAAGAGCTAGGACTCCTACCAAAGACATGGGATGAGGACTGACCAACAGAGCTGACAGTCTACTAAAGAACGAGGCGTGCAATCTCCAATTCAGTATTCAAAACATAGGCTTTGGAATCTCCAGTTCTCTGCTATTTGTTGGGTTCTGCTTTCTATTTTCAGGTGCCATGGTGAAGTGACAGTGGAGGCCTTTGGAAGGCTGGATTAAATTTTGGAGCTAGGAATTGCAGAAATATATAGGCTTCTGCCTCCTGCTTTTGGGGAGCCATTGTAAAGTGACGGCAGGGTGTCTCTGATCTCTGCCAAAGAGCTCCATCAGGGAGCAGACAGCTCTAAGTATCTAGGGCTTCCCTCCAAGACACAAAGTGAGAGTGTGCCACAAAGCTGCCAAGCTACCAGAAAGAGTCAGGAGTCCAAATATCCCAGATTTACATTTCAGAACCTCCAATTCTCTGTCTTATTGGCTCCCACTCCCTCTTTATAGGGTGCTATGGTAAACAGACATTGCAGGACTCTGGAAGGCAGGGTTGGCACCATGGATATTATTTCGAAAGCACAATTTCTCTCAATACAAATATAAACACGGATATCAACATCTCAACCATGGAGTATAATCAGTTGACAGAGCTACAGATCTGGGGCTTTTAGGTAACAGCGGGAGGACTGTGTTACAAAGCTGGCAATCTACAGGCTGCCAGAAAGTCAGGAGTTCAAATATGGTCCCAGATTTACATTTCAGAAGCTCCAGAACTCCGTCATCCTTTGACTTCCACTCCTTCTTGGGATTATATGGTAAAATGACAATGGAGGTCTCTGGAAAGCAGGATTAGTACCATCAATAATATTTCAACACAGTCATAGGGTGTTCTACTATGGAGTGCAGCCAGTGTACAGCTCCACAGATTTAGGGCTTCCCTACAAGACACAGAGCTGTCAATCTACTAGCTGCCAGAGAAAAGTGTGCACTCCTTGGGCCACGAAGCCACACAGCCCCAGAATTACAATTTGAAACTTCCATCTTTCGACTCACTGACAAGGAACTACGCAGTCAGTGGACAGTTCTAAAGAGCCAGGAATTATATCTCAGCCATAGGATGAAGAATGTGACATAGAGCTGACAATCTACGGGCTTCTAAAGGACAAGATGTGCAATCTCTGAGAAATGCAAACTTTCGTTTTAGAACCTCTAGTTCTCAGACATCTATTGTGTTCTGCTGCTTATTTTCGGGGCGCGCATGGTGAAGTAACAGCGGACGCCTCCAAAAAGCTAGACTGGTAGCAGGATTCCGTTTCAGGAGCTAGGGTATACAGCAGTCTCTGAGCTTCTGCCTACTGTTTTGGGTTGCCAATGTAAAGTGACAGTGGGGAGTTCCTGATCTCTGACAAAGGGCTCCACTAGGGACCAGACAGCTCTACAGATCTGGGGCTTCCCACTAAGACACAAAAGTGACAGCATGAGGACTGTGCCAAAATGCTGCCAGAAAAGAGTCAGGAATCCAATATGGCCTCAGTTATGTGTTTCAGAACCTCCAGTTCTCATCTATTGACCTCCACTCCTTTTTGGGGTAATAAGGTAAAATGACAGTTGAGGTCCCAGGGAGACAAGATTGGTACCATCTTTATTATTTCAACACTGTCATAGGGTGTTCTACTACGAAGTGCAGCCAGTGTACGGCTCCACGGATGTAGGGCTTCCCTAGAAGACAGAAAGCCAACAACCAACAGGCTGCCAGAGAAAGAGGTGTGCACTCCTTGGGCCCAAAAGCCAAACAGCCCCAGAATTACATTTTGGAACCTCCATCTTTTATCTCTTTTTGGGGTGCTATAGTGAAGTGCCGGCAGAGGTCTCAGTAAAGCTAAACACTGACAAGGAGCTCCACCATGAAGTAGTCAGTGGACAGTTCTAAGAGCCAGGACTTTGGCCAAAGACACAGAATGAAGACTCTGCCACAGAGCTGACAATCTATAGGCTGTTTAAGAATGAGGTGTGCAATCTGAGTCAGGAATCCAAACCTAAGTTTCGGAACCTCCAGTTCTCCACCATCATGGGCCCCGCTTACCATTTTGGAGGTACCATGATGAAATGACCATGACAGCATCCAGAAAGCTGGACCGATACCAGAATTATGTTTTGGGAGTTAAGATTTCCACCAACCTCTGGGCGTCTACCTCCTGTTTTTGGGGTGCCACTGTAAACTGACAATGGGGCATCCCTGATCTCTAACAGAGCTCCATCATGGAGCACAATCAAAGGGGCAGGCCAACAGCCACTGACATGACAGGATTCTTGTGCCACAGAGCTGACAATCTACAGGCTACCAGAGAATGAGGTGTGCGCTCCCTGAGCCAGGAAACCAAACAGCAGAATTAAGTTCTGGAAGCTCCAGTTTTCAACCTTTACCTTTTTGGGGGTGCCATGGTGACCTGGCGGTGGTGGGGGGCCCCTGATCTTTGACAAAGAGCTCCACCATGGAGAGGGGGGCTCTCAGGTTCAGGGGCTTCCCTCCAAGACAAAGTGACAGTGTGAGGACTGTGCCACTGAGCTGACAATCTACAAGCTTCACACAAAGTATCCAGAGGCCAGCTCCCCAGACTCCTCCCCCAATCACAAAGTGACAGCAGCGCCTGGGCAGCAGAGCTGACAATCTAAGAGAGTAGAGTGGTGAGGATGAGCTGTCCTGGTCACGTCATCCCTCCAGCACAATGCTGCCCAGGCGCCTCCCCCCTCCCCGTCCTCCATGTTGCCGTGGTGGGCACAGGCCCGGGGAGAGGAGGAGGGGGGTGGAGTGCCGGTATGAGCCGGTGGCGGGAAGCCTGCTCTGCCTCCTCCTCCTGCCCCCTCCCCCTCCCCCCGGGTTCCCGCGCTCCGGCCTCCATCCAAGCCCGCCGCCTCACCTCCGCAGGACATCCCGGATCCTCTGCTCCTCCTCGTGCAGTCCGCCCGGGGTCAGGGTACGGTTCCCGCTAGCGCCCGTCCTCGGGTAAGGGGCACAAAGGCTCCGCCGGGAAAGGAAGAAGGGGTACCGAATCCCCCGGCCTGGATAAATAATAGCCCGTCACCCGCCGCCGTATACCGTAGGGGGTGCAGATTAGGGGGGGTCCGGTAAATAGCAAATAATAATAATAATAGGAATAATAACCCCCGGGCCGCGCCTGGCAGGGAGCAGCAATCCTAAGCCGCCATCTGGCGGTATCTCGCTCACCGGAATGGCGCCGCCGCTTGTCCGGAGAACGGGCGCCCTCTGGCGGAGACAGACTGGGAGACCCACAGGGGGCGGGGTTCGCCCAATCGCCATGGAAACGGGCGGGAGAGCGGAGGCGGGGTCGGCTAAGTAGCCTCGCACTCGAGGGAGGAGGGATAAGGGGTCTCCATAGCAATCGGAATATGGGCGGGACGTTGAGAGTTACGTCCCCATAGAAACGCATGACAGTGTGGGCGCTGTTTATTCCTGTTCATGCGAGTAATCGGGAGTAGCAGCCGGAGTTGTGTGGGAAGTTCGCATGATTTTGCGAGTGGCGTAGAGCGACATCAACACGGGTCACGGGTTTCCTTCACCTCTCCTTGTTTATCAATAATATTCACGCGCGTGACTGAAGCAACACTGCGCCTGCGTTGTAACAAGACGCTGCCTAAGGGGAGTAGACTCCGCGCACGCGTAGAAATCTGTGCTAAAGATACGGAACGCATGCGCATTAGCTCTTTCTGGCCTGCAAGGAGGTTTCATTGTTGCCTTGGTAACTGGGACGTCACGAAGAATTGGAAGAATTAAATGGTGCTGCACAGTGCTGCCACCTACTGAAATTCGAGCCCAGTTGCACCTTCCAGCAGGTCACTTTGGACGTGGATGCATGCATTGGTGTTCTTGGCACTTTTAGCTAACTATGACAAGATTAAAATCAAGTTCCACCTTTTGCAAAAAAATAATAAATGTACACATATTAATAAAATAGGTGCATTCATTAAATGAATGTATTGAAGCCTGTAGAGCTCTGTAATAGCAATCAGTGCGCTGCAGGTGCAATATGAAGGCCCCTGCGTTGTTTACAACCGCAGGGACAGACCTTCTGTTATGGGCCTGGAGGAAGTACTGAGAATGTGGTGATGTTCGCACGCACTGAATCTCTCTTCCACGATGGGAGATAGGACTTGTCTTCCCATTCACAAATGTCTGCAGACAGGATGTTGCTGCACAATGAACCCTGAAATTTAGGTAGTACAGGAGGAGGGGGCAGTAAGGGGGGTTGGAAAATGCGATTGGGCATAAAATGAAAGCAAAGGTGGACTATGTATTTAATTTGATTTTTTCTGTCACCTCTAAGTGCTCATTTATGCTTGTGTCACCCTTTGAAGGGTGACCAACGGCGGATTACTTTTCAGAGGGTGTTTGACAGGTGGCTGGGAGGCATTGGAGTCGCTTTATTAAAGGAAAATAGGCTGTTCACTTAACCTCCCTGGAGGTATTCCCGAGTGTAGCTCGGGGTAAAGTTTCAGCACCACAAGCAGTAACCCCGAGCTACACTCGGGAATACCTTGCAGCGTTGCTCCGGGATCTGTTCTTCACTTACCTTGTCCTGCGCTCTCCCCCAATGTCCCCCCTGCAGTGTCCCTGGCCATGTCCTCTGGCCGATGCCGGCATCTGTCTTCTGGGTTCCGTTCCCTGCGACGTCAGGACGTACAGAGGACGGAACGGTGGGAAATTTAAAAATGTAAAAAAGTGACATTCAGTAAATACACTAAAAAATCTCATAGTAAAACATTACTGTATCAAACCATTTCACATACATTTTGTTCCTAGTGCTTTGTCCTGTGCCCTGCCTGCATTTTTACTGTTCTTTCTGCCTGGAAACTGAGAAATGTCCATGGCGTCCAAAAAGCGTCCCTTTAGGTCAAAAGTGGATTTAGACCAGCTAGAGAACAGCGATAGTAAATTAGAACCACTTGCAGAATTGAGCACAGAAATACTGACATAATCAGACCGCTAGGGAGACTACTAAGAGAAGTTGCTCTTTGCATTTGAATTATCTCTTCAATTTAGTGAATGAGGTGAAATTTCACTTTGCAATGAATACCCAATTGTGTGGAAGGAAAATTTTTTCTAAAAAAAAAAAGCTTTTTTTGCTGAAATGAATGAACGATTGAAGTCATCTCATTCACTAAGCTCTGGGGAAAATTGCCATGAAATGTTCAACGTACCTTGCAAAGTAAACAATCTCTGCCTGTAGTAAATCAATCCCATTACATTGCTTCCTCACCCCCTGTTTTAACCCTGTAAAGCCCACATTACCATGCCCCAGCCACATGCATTGCATGCGGTTGTGGCACAGCCCTATTCACCTGAGTGTGTCATGTGTGGAGAAGGTATGCTTGCCAAACACAACAGAAGGTATCATTACTACTGTGGCTGCAAAGCAGTGGATGAACAACATTGGTGGACTACAGAATGAATGATCACTGTGATAGCCTATCCGAGGCTATCACAGCGATCATGTGACTGAGATCCAGTTCCCTGAGTTCCTTTCGTTAGGAGACCCGGAGCTGTCATTGACCGATCGAATGTGCTTCCAGGAACACATATATGTGGTACCTGGGGATTAAATCCCACTTCTTGGACTCCTCATACATGTGTTATGTGGTCGTGAAGGGGGTAAGAAGTTGGGGGCTAAACTGACTATTTTTAACCAACCAGACCAGAAGTGTAAACAAGGCCTTGCTTAGTTTGTAGTTTAGCTAGGATGTCAATATGTAGTTCTAAATCAGAAAGTATTAAACACCCTGGGGGGAATTTACTAAAACTGGAGCAACTGTGTATTGTAACCAATCAAATAACATCAGCTTGTTCAGTTGAAGTATAACTGGAGGCAAAGCTTTTTTTTTCTTAGTTTTGAAAAGACTGAAGAGGGATTAGAACACCTTGTCAGGTTTTTATCACTGCCTGTTTCTCCATTAGGAGGGTTTGCCCTCGCTATTAGATTAGATTAGAGGAACTGAATTTATTCTCTCTTGAGAAGAGGAGATTAAGGGGGGATATGATCAACATGTATAAATACATCAGTGGTTCATATAGTGAACTCGGTGTAGCGTTATTCACCCTGAGGTCATCACAGAGGACAAGGGGGCACTCTTTGCGGCTGGAGGAAAAGAAATGTAATCTCCAAACACGGAAAGGTTTCTTCACAATGAGAGCTGTGAAAATGTGGAATAGACTCCCTCAAGAGTTGGTTCTGGCCAGCTCAGTGGATTGCTTTAAAAAAGGCCTGGATTCTTTCCTAGATACACAGAATATAACTGGATACTAACATTTATAGGTAAAGTTGATCCAGGGAATATCCGATTGCCTCTCAGGGGATCAGGAAATAATTTTTTTCCCAGCAGGAGCAAATTGGATCATGCTTTGCTGGGGTTTTTTTTGCCTTCCTCTGGATCAACTGTGGGTATATGATTATAACTTATTATTTTTTTTTTTACATGGTTGAACTGGATGGCCTTTTGTATTTTTTCAGCCAGACTAACTATGTACTGTATTTGTCCTGTTTACCTTTATCACTGAGAGTAAAAGTGAAAGAAAATCCCACATTTTAGTTTGTCGTCAGAACAGAAATAGAGGGGACACTATTTTTGGTGACACCGGTGACAACCAAGGATTCCCTCAATTTGAAGTGAGTTTTGGCTATGGGATAGGAAGGGAAATCTCTCCAATGGCAACACAGAAGGCAAAAAAAAATCTGACAATGGTGAAATAACTCTCCCTTACCCCAGGTTCACACCTAAGTGTTTTCTGCAGTGTTTGCTGAAAGGCAGTACAGTCCATTTAGCATGATTTCCTATGGGACATGTTCACATCTGTGCATTTTCACCCAGTGCGTTTTTTGGAAAGGGTCAGGGCTGTTTTTGAACGCAAAAAGTTGCATTTGGGTTCTATAGATGTCAATGGAAATGCTGCAGAAAAGCATGTAATGTGTTTTTGATACGTGTTTACAGCATCAATAACGCAAGTGCAAAAATGCAATGCAGAAACGGCTCAAACGCAACCTGCATAGGTGTGAACTTAGCCTCACACCATCCAAAAATAAGAAAAAAGATTTGCCTTTAGTTCTACCTTAAGCTTTGAAAATGTCTTTCACAGCTCCAGATTCAGTCTGCTCCAGTCTTAGTAAATTTCCCTCACTGTGCGGTGCTGGGGGTAATAAGTGCACAATAAAACCTTGGACCGGGGTCGGCAACTCTTTCCACATTAGAAGTCAATTTACAAGCCGTGTTTCCTATGTACAATAGCGCAGCATAGCTGTATAGTTTATTTTGAATTTTTTCACTCATAGCTGTACTGTTAATGGCAAGTTAAACTCATTAATTTTGAATATATTAACAGGTGCACACACAATACATATTTACCATTAGTGTGTACTGAACAGTAAACTAGACTAACAGTCTTCGGTGTGATCCCTGTCCCTGTCTTTCACAGCTTATGCAGGCCATAGACGGGTTGAAAATCGGCCGATTTTCGCACCGTTAGTGGGTTAATTGGTCAGCCGTTTTTTGGCACATTTTTTTTATCAGTAAAGTTGGAAAGAAATCGGCCGATTTTTCCGGCAATGATGGGTAAATCGGCCGATCGTTTTACCGATAAAAAAATCTGCGCATGAGCCATGACTTGCAAGAAGAAGAAAAAGAAGAAGAATTCCAGTCCGCTATTATATTTTACATGAAAAGTATTGCGATTGCAACAATGTATCTATTTTGTATCCGAATAAAAACATCTGTATCCGAAATGGATACATTGTTGCAACCGCAATACTTTTTCATGTCAAATATAATAGCGGAGCTCTCTGCAGGGACAGAAGTAATTAAATGGCAGCCATAGACGGGACGAAAATTGGCCGATTTTTTTTTTACCATTGGTGGTAACGGTCTACTGAACGACCGTTTTTTTTTTGTTTTTTTTTAAACAGATGGTTTTCGACCCGTCTATGGCCTGCATTAGTTGTGCTAAATCCAGCCTGTAGGATGGTCATTTCCGCAGCACACAATTCTGAATTATCTGTTATAAGTCGGCTTCAAGATGGGCTTAACACTGTATGTTTGCACATATTTGAGGATCCCACAGCATGACATTAACGCGGAGGCTACTTTTTTCTAACATAAGAGTTTGCCTATGAAACTCAATACACTACAGACTAGGTAGTATTTAACGCACTTTATTAGTTGTATTTTAAAGCACCCCCCTTCCCCACAGAAAACCTGCCAATGCTATTTAATGATTACATGTAAAATAAGTATTTATTTATTTTTTTTGCTAGAAAAGTATTTAGACCCCCCAAACATATTTATATTTTTTAGCAGAAGCTCTTGAGAATGAATTGGTGGTTGTTGCAATTTTTTATGTGACACAGTATTTGCGCGCAGCAGTTTTTTGAGCACAATTTTTGGGGAAAAATACACTTTAACCGCTTCATGCTAGGCCATATATGGCTGTATATACATATATGGCTGGGTGGGACAAGCGTTGTTCTGGGAGGACATTCAGAGACGTCCTCCCAGAAGCACACCTCATCCTCTGTATTTAGAAAAAAAAACAGTGGTGATTAAATACCACTAAAAGAAAGCTCCATCTGTCTAAAAAAAAATGATGAAAATTACAGTTGGGTACAGTGTTGCATGAGTGAGTAATTGTCATTCAAAGTGTGACAGCGCTGAAAGGTAAACAAATGGCCTGGGCAGAAAGGGGAAGAAAGTATCCAGTTTTGAGGTGGTAAAATAATTTTAATGCACTACATAATTGTTTGTTAAAATACAAAAGATGATGTTACACCAAGTAACTAGATACCTAACATGTCACGCTTTAAAATTGAGCACACTCATGGAATGGTGCCAAATTACAGTACTTAAAAACCTCCATAGGTGTCGCTTACACGGGTGCTAGTATTATTGCTATAACATTCACAGTAATACCTCACGTGTGGTGCTATCACCATGTACGTATGCGTACGAGCACAGGGGGTTAGGGACAGTTTAAATCTTTTAAAATATCATGTATTTTATTGTAAAAAATGTATATTTTTACGCTGTTCCTTTAATTTTTTTATCACTTTTATTGCTATCAAAAGGAATGTAAACAAAAAGAAAAATTACAAGAGGAATTCCCCTTCCTTTGGAGAGATAAAGAACTAAAATATCTAGGAATAAAACTATCAGCCTCAATTAAGAACCTATATAAAGCAAATTATATAACATTATTAAATGAGATTAAGGAGGAGCTGAGGAGAGTAGGGAATGGAAATCCATCATGGATAGGTCGTATAAATTTGATAAAGATGGTAATTGTCCCCAAAGTATTATACAGATTTCAAATGATCCCAATCAAACTCCCAGAGGCATGCTTTAAAGAACTTAGGAAAATGATAATAAAATGTATATGGAGGAATAAAAAACCTAGAATAGGTTATGAAACGTTGACTAGAAGTAAAGAAAGAGGAGGATTGGGGGTGCCAGACTTCAGGAGATATTACAAAGCGGGGATAATTGCGAGAATTTTTGACTGGATTCATAATCCAGAGAAAAACTGGGTTAAAATAGAGACAGCACTGAGTGGAATAAGTTTAAGTAAAAGTATTTGGGTACCTGCACAATATAGGGAATTAGAGGAGAGCACTAGCACATACACTCTTAATGTTTTAAAAGAATGGGATTTATTACACAGACAAAAGGGGTGGGATTTTAACTCACAATTAATACCACTTAGAAACACAAAATTTTTTATCCCAGGTAAGGATAGTATAGCAGGGAAATG